CCTTTTGGAACGATCCAGCATTGAATAATTCGAAATATGAGCACAAACAATTAATCACTTGCATTATTCACTTCATGTTCGTTTGTTAGAGATTTTGCAATGAGCAATAATATGCGCTTGTTTATTGCACAACTGAAACGCTCATGCACCTAGTGAACCATTTCGAAGCGTTTATAATGGAACAACTATTTGGAAGATTCTTCATCACCATACATTTTAAATAAAATGATGAAATTATTTATAGGTAAGTTATGGCAAACTGAAAGTTCTAGTTATAATAGCAACTGCAGATTAATTACAAAAATTTCTGGTCGGTGAAGTAGGCAGGCAAATAAAAACCACCAAGTATCATAAATACCATGAAGTATCTTGTGGTTCAAACACAAGTCTCGAGCAGGACTGAAGTGATACTGCGGAAATACATAAAAGTCTGCAAGTTCGGCAGTTTATATTTGCTGAATATGTTGTAACACATTTCCTCGAAGAAGTTTATGTTTTTGCACTACTTTGAATTCGCATCATGGAATCGAAATGAATGCTGGATCATTGCGAACGACTCAGTTGAGGAAAACTGAATTTCACTAATTCGCTCATATCATTTGATGGATGAACAACTTGAAGGGGAAGCACGATCAACGAGTGACTGCATATGCAGCGAAGTTTTGCCCGTAGCGAGAAAAGCACGTGCACATAAACGTTTTCGCTGCAAATAAAACGCAGAAATCATCCTCAAAAGGCCGGCTTTCAATTCATTTCTATACCGCGTTCTTACTGGGTATGCTGCCATCACTGACATCGCAAACTTCGATAAAGCTTGCATTTGTTCAACAGTTGCTTCTAGCTGCACTTCATCCAACATCTGAAACTTTGACCGCAAAAGGTTTCAGTGTAGATGCGAAACGTTATCTATTGCGCATTTATTTACCATTGAGGAAATTGTTTGAGCATTTTTGATGAACTTAACACAGTTCAGCCTAGAATTTTTATAATTGTAGAAAAGGAATCTCGGAGGATTGTTTTAGATGTTTGCATGATTGATTCAATCAAATTTCAGCTTTTACTGGAGATTACTGGATGAAAACCTCAATTTGCTTCCTAAAAACTTCCAAAAAATAGGACCTTGCTAGATACTGCAAAAACAGCTGAGTAAATTGCATTATAATCACATTACTGACTACAGAATATCGACTGGATGATACTGTGATGTTCTTGGACGTCGAATTGTATATACGATGAATGTGTGATCTCATTGTTCGACCAAATGCAACGCAGAAACTACGAGTAAAAATTTCTTGATGGAGGCAATGTAATTGAAATTATGGAATCCTTATTTTTTAACGCCGCAGGCAATAGCTCTGTGCTCGATTCATGATTCAATTTTGCATTTCATACACAAATTTCATTACTCGAGAGATTTTTAGAAGAACCTTTAGGAATTGAAGTGAAGGATGAGGAGAGTGATGAATTCTATCAACGGTTTATGCCATATCTGCTTAAGTAGAAATGAGTAAGGGTTTGTTCCACTGAACTGTTGGAGCTGTAATTATGCGCTATGATGTACCATTAGTTGTTTTGAGGTTTTGACGGAGATTTGTCGAAAAGTTTGCAAATCAATAGCCATACTTCAGCCGTTCAAAAAATTCCAGGGAAGATGCATTGAAAGTGATCCTTTATGGAAGGGAAAATGACATTACAATGGGAGAACACCTTCACATTCCACAACAACAGTTTCCATCATGAGAGTGCAGATCACTTACAAATGGTAATAAATCGTAAGTGCAGTTATGAATTTTAAGTTAATTAATAAACGAATTCATTCATTCATTCGAATCGTTTCAATCACTCCGAATTCACTTGAATGGAAAACATTAATAATCAATATTTTATCAGGTTGCCAGCATGCAGCAATTTCGGAGAATATCTTATTGTTATTGAAGAGTTATTGAAGGATGCAGTCGTTTTTAAGCTGAAATGAGAATTATGCTAACGTAATCCGAAACTGAAACGAGGATGGTGTTTGAAATAACACTGAATACCATTTTAAATGCGAGCGATAAATGGCATGATGCGTTACCGGATTCATCATCTTGTGTCACCTTCATGACTGAGATTTGCGTCACCTTCGTGACTGAGATTGACTCGGATTGTAATTGAAACTGACGCTGAAGTGGATTTCAAAAGTGTTTTTGCATTCCTCCGTTTAATTGCATTCGGCGAAAGCAACATTCCGCTTGTTCAAGCAAACGAGTCTCGCTGCCAATCCAAAAGACAAACTTCAGTGTTTCTTGGTTCAATTTCAGAGAACGAGAGTTATATTCATCGTTGCACGATTGTTATTTGGATGGTTGCCCTATGATAGACAGATGAGAAACGCGTCATTCAAACTGAATAAAATTCATTTCGCATCAGCTTCACCATCATTCATTTTCTTACATATGTTCTATGGTAGACAGAATTGCCTCAAATACTAACTATTCACAGAATTGTCTTAACTCACAATATGGTCTCTCTACACGTGGTGCATGTCAAATGGCAGATATGCATAACATTAATAGCTTTATTCTGGTATTTTCTTAGATGAGTGTAATCAGTCTGTGGATATTCTGGCATCTGACAGTGAACAAAAAATTGTTGTGAATGGCTGACAATTACCTGTGGATTAACTGCAGCAAGAACTCAACAATCACAAGGCAACGACGCACTAACCTTTCTTCAAACGCCACGGAAGTGGAGATAATAGGGCAATCTAGAATAACGGAAAAGCACTAGTCACTATGTTCTCTTTATTGTGCAGCAACTGTTCGCAAATGCTTCACACTCGCTTTTTCTAGCCAAAAATTTTCCTCGAGTCATTTCCACAAAGACGATGCATTTACACGAAATACACATTATATACCAGTTCAAAATTTTCAGTACGTTTGCTGAGCGGTGCGAAATTTTAACGCGCAATCTGATCGAAAAGAGCTATCAAAGATCCCATCATGACATTTGATTGTGATAGCCTTATGTCTAAAAAATGTAGAATGAAGTTGATTCACTTCCTGAAGAGTTCAGAACTGATAGTGTTTGGAACTTTCGGATGTGAATCACCGCAAACTACTTCAGAACGTTATTGATCAGCAACAATTCAAAAAAACGATATATAAGAATCTCACCTTATCACTGTCTAAATCAGAATCACAATCTCATATCACCGCATTTTTACGCCAACGCAAATCGAATTCATGCCGAGAAATGCATGCATAGAAATGTTTCAAATGTAAAGAAACTGGCGTCTAAGCTGCTGCCTTTTTTGGGTATCAATGTACTTTCTCCACATTGTGAATCTTACATCTGATGAGTCTTAATCAGCTTGAACTATGAAGATTTGTGCATCAGATGAACCGATGAAAAAAATGAATGGAATGTAGACGTATTTATGCTACCCTTAAGAACCGAATAGATGTGCTCGACAATGAAAGTTGTTCAAAATGCACGAATGTTTAGTTGAAAAGAATGAAAAGACGGTTCAAGATGACTACTAATAAATCAATTATAACGATGAATTTCTCTTAATAGATTGATTCAGTAATCATAAATGAGATATTGAGATAGATCTCTTTGTCTTTTGTTTGTATGAGATATCTTAATAACACAGGTGAATAATCTCATGCGATAGTTAATTCACACATTCGAGACAGTGATGGTGTGATGCAGAGATTTGCACTATTGACCGCACCAACGAGTGGTGAGAAGTTAATTACGCATCATTCAAAATCTCACTGCATTCTTCTACGATTCAAGTTGTCATCTCGAATTGGAATGGAATCGAAAAAAACACACAGGCTTCAGGTGCAACCTTATAACTTTTACAGAACGGCGAATAATAACAGTGATTGGATTGCGCGATTTACGCCATATCAGAGGAACATTTCCAGAGCAACAGTTATCACAATCGAATCACTTACAATACACACCAATTGTTTCTAAGATGAAGTGCATCTTTAGCGATCCAAATGAGGATTATCAGAACTTCACAACGATTGTTCACAAACCGATAAAATTACTCAAGAAAAACGTACATAATAGTTTGACTCTTTTTTCGAATATAAAAAAAGGATACCTGCAAATGCCTCGTCCACTAACAAAAACAATTTTGAGAGACGCAAAAAATTGTGTTAAATCAGAACCCATCCATCATTATTCACGTGGGTATAAAAACTGCCTCGAATACAAGAAGAAACGCACCCAACTTTGACATACGCAACTAATCTGCTCATTCCAATCAACCTCAACATTCATTCGAATAAATCGTATTTATGATATTTATCATTTGCGGACTGCTAATCCAGTTTTGCAAAAAAGCCTTCTAGGTATTTCTGAACCTCGATCATAATTTTCTCTAATATCTGATGATAAAGATAAATACCAACAAGCGAACCAACCCTATGACACTTCGAAAGTGTATGGTGATTGCCAATATGTTAGGCTGTACATTTCAATACGCTCATATATTTTCACAAAAGCCACTACATTAGCATTAAAAGAGTTACAGGAGCTCTGTGGGCTCTCATGACTGTATCAACGAATACGCTAGCATTCAATTAGCAGTTCGTTTGGGTCTCACTATCGAGCCTTTCAAAAATCGACCAATCAAGTGTCAAACGAGCAGAAAACCTTGTTAAGAAAAATTAGCGTTGTTCTTGTCGCCAAATATGAGCTTATGAGCTGAAGTTTTTCGGAATTTTCTGGCCTCAGTCTGAGTTTTGATTTGAATGGTCGAACGAGATGCCATTATTCGAGCAGAAGTGATTCTCGCAGATTTCACTTTTGGTGTGCACAATGCACTTCACAATTTTTGGTGAAATGTTCGCTCAGAGACGCATTAATTTTCACTTGGATAAAAGATGATTTCGATTGCCGGTTTTTTAGAAACTTGTTCTCATCAGCAGATAGTCTCGTCAACATTCGTTTTTCATTGTTTTCACCTGACAGGCGATTCATTGTTTTGAACATTAGACAAAAACAAGACGTCACGAAGAGATGGACATCACTTCGTTCGACCCCTTTTCCCGACGACACTTCTTAACCGGTCATTTCTCAACCCCCACGCCCTCGCTCATCATCTATATAAGACTCGAGGATCATCGGATCAACATCGTCGTCCGGAGATGTTCCGCGAGATATTAGCAATTGTTATTTTCGCGGCGTTCGCCAGCGCAATTCCGGTCGATAATGGTGTCGAAGGAGAGCCAGAAATTGAATGTGGTCCAGCCTCGATTACGGTTAATTTCAATACGCGTAATCCATTCGAAGGACACGTCTACGTGAAAGGACTTTACGATCAAGAAGGGTGTCGCAATGATGAAAATGGCCGTAGTGTTGCCGGTATCACGCTGCCGTTCGATACGTGTAACGTTGCTAGAACTCGCTCGTTAAACCCACGCGGTATCTACGTGACGACCACTGTAGTCATCTCATTCCATCCACTCTTCGTTACGAAGGTTGATCGTGCTTATCGTGTACAATGCTTCTACATGGAAGCCGACAAAACAGTTAGCACTCAAATTGAAGTGTCCGAGATTACAACTGCCTTCCAGACACAAATTGTACCCATGCCAGTGTGCAGATACGAGGTTTGTTCCTTTTTCCTTATTCGCACCTTTCATGTGATTCAACATATAACTTCCTTCAGTGTATCCTCATGACAAATATTGAATTGTCCACCAAATTACGAACATACCACTCTTCTCCAGCACCATAACAAAGAATTTAAGCTGGTGTGAACCAGAAATACAAAACAGCAAGCTATTAGAGATGCTTTTGCGAATGTCCAAAGGAAAGGTTGATTTGTGTTTATAGNTGTTCACACGTATGAATTAATCGAATACGAAACTATTGAAAGACTTTACGATTGTCATTGGTGACATGTGTAACAATAAGCTCAACTGCAGATTCTTGACGGTGGACCAAGTGGACAACCAATTCAGTTCGCATTGATAGGTCAACAAGTATATCACAAATGGACCTGTGATTCAGAAACCGTTGACACTTTCTGCGCAGTTGTGCATTCATGCTACGTGGATGACGGTAATGGTGATAAGGTTGAGCTGATCAATGAAGAGGGCTGTGCGCTTGATAAATACCTTCTCAACAACCTTGAATATCCAACCGATTTGATGGCAGGACAAGAGGCACACGTCTACAAATATGCAGATCGATCGCAATTGTTCTATCAGTGTCAGATCAGAATAACGATCAAGGAACCAAACAGTGAATGTGAACGACCCAAGTGTACTGAACCACAAGGATTCGGAGCCGTCAAGGCAGGTGGAGCCGCAGCCGCAGCGCCAAGACCAGCACTTCGACTTCTCAAGAAACGTTCTGCCGATTACGATAACACAATGGACGTACGCACTGATATCAGCACTCTCGATATCTCTGATCAGGTCTGTTCCACACCAATAACTTATTATGATTTTAGAGTGTTTCAGTCACACATCTAATTAAGAGCACTCTCATTACCGATGAATGAGTGAGAGCGCTATCCTAACTGTTGACGTTCCTCATTTCATTAGTACCCTTAGAGACAGATCATCGTTGAGCTCGGCTTAACAGAAGCTAGGTGTAGATTGTAGTGTTTGTATAAAGCAGATGCACAACTACAGAAACATCCAAACGGCTCCATGATACCGTAGCGAAATTTTGATACGATATGCACCATCTGGCTTCTAAGCAGGGTTTCTGGAATGGATTTGACCAATGGATCACTGCTTTTCTGCTAATTCAACCAATAACACTCTATTTTTTTTTGAGTGAATGAGGACTCCTGTTGAATGAGTTTTTGTAGGAACAAGCCCTTCCGGTCGACCTCCGTCATCGGGTACGTCATCACTACGGTCAACCAGTGGTACTCTCAACCGTCCAAGGTGGTATTTGCATGTCTCCAATGGGCTTCTCGATGTTCATGGGATTGGGTGTGGTAGTTATTGCAGCAGTCGTTGTACTTATTTCGTTCATGCGTCAGCGCAAATACTGAAATGTGCAATTTTGACAGTCATTACTTATTTTGCTTATGTCTTTCATCAAACTTTAGAGCGTCCAGCATTTTCTTATTATTGTAAGATTATAATGTGATAAGTGTTTCTCCACATTTGGCATCAATTTCGCTCATTCACATTCATTCTCTTTTTTTCTGAGTCATCCTAATTTTGTTCTGCTCTTCTCCACAGCACTCACTCTGATTTCAACAATAAGATCATTTCTATTGTCTTACTGCACAATCTTTCCTAAAATCAGTTGGTTCCATCTATAACCATTTCATTACGCCCATATATGTGGGTGATACACACGTGCAATCTGTTTTCGAATCTGATGGACGTATCTTCAAAATAAACATTTCTATTTTGTTCAGTTTCCTCGCACCACAACTTTTTTATAAAAAGACATGTTACAATCCAAAACGGGTAATCGAACCAACATGCCAATTGTTATTTGCATGATATCGGTCCAACCATAACTGTGTGATGAATAAGGGTGCCGAGAAAAATGATGAAGAAGCAATATGCACGGAGCTCGACAGCAATTTGCCTTCAACGTTATAATGATTTATCACCATTCCAGCATTGATTCACTGCCACTTTCCTGATCCCTTCTCAAACATTCACGACATAAAGTGAATGTGACAGTTGAAAAACAATGAGGTTTTGTTTTTCATTTTCCATCTTCTCTTTTTCATCTACCGGTTCTTGAACAATTGTAGCACTAGAAGGATAAAAAATGAAGTCAATTAAGATCAAACGAAAACGGTAATGTGATTTGTTTATTAGATGCGACTGTCCACTTGGTCACTCGTTAGACAAAGCAACCGGTTTTTACAGAAGGCGAGCGGTGAGAAATCAAAAGCAAACATCGGTCAGTGAAAACGTTCGAACGAAAAATGATCACTAATAATGATAATCGAATCATCTAGAACCAGAAAAAAAAACTTAATGAACGGATGTTTGATCGGGTCGCTGAGCAAATTGATTGAACGCTTTGAGCACCTCATCAATCAGCATTATATTTTATCGAATCTAAAAATCATCGTTAGATTGGTTCGTTATGCATTTACGGCAATTTGAACGGCACGTTTTACAAGTGATGAATAAATCTACGACGATTGGCGAAGTGATTTAAGAACAAAACGGCTTCCTTAAAATTGAAATTGCAGCCGTCATCTGAAGATGATGGTCACTGAAGTTGTGGAAAGAAACGTTTTAGTGATTCGCACAAAGAAATTGATGTGATTAAAGGTGAGGTTAGTGATGATATGCTGACAACTATATTTACTTGTAATGTTTCGACGATGTAGCATTTCGCAATACTCGAAATCATGCTCACATCAATTTCTTTATACGAATCATTAGAATGTTTTATCAAATGATGTGAGAAAGCCTTGAAATCCAGGTTCAGCGTGGCTGAATATTCCCTCATGAAATCAGCAACACGAACTGAACCGATGATACAAAGTTTTTCACGGTACAGCGAGAACTAAATCGGATTGCACTGAAACTGCGACTGTTAAAAAATATTTCCTAAGCCAAATTTTTTGCACAAGCTACACACTATGGTTGACAGTTAAATTTGTCTGTGCTGTTAAACAACACTTTGCGGTTAATCGAAATTTCAACTGCTCGCATCATTGGCATTTCGCTGCTTCTGTGTTTAGCTGTACATGTTTACCATTGCTGCACCATTGCTTTAGCTGTACATGTTTACCATTGCTGCACCATCGCTTTAGCTGTACA